TGTAACAATGCAATCATGTGTATCTCATCATATGTTTTATTTTATCATTGGAACATTTTAGTATTTTTAGTGTAGTTACTTCAGCTATCTAAGCTAGCTTTTTTGAAAAAGGTGATAAATGTTGAAAGCAGTTTATATCTTTAAATTCTCATCCTTGTATTAGAACATAGAGAAGTTAATATTTTGATGGTTTCTCGTATAGTAATGATCAATCATGTGTTTTAAACTTATTGCACTATAAATATTTACCTGAAGCTTAAAAAAAAATCATATCTCAAATCACAATATCTGTTAGAAAAAATTTGACATTTCCCCCCAAATGTTTTCGCCCTATACCTCATATGTATGAATCAGTTTCAGTTCTGCCCTTGTAGAACCACACTATTAAAGTACTATCAAAGCAATGGAAACACATCTCTCCACACAATGTTATGCATAAAGTCACCCTTGGAATGCAGCCAGCTTCACATTTGAACAGCACAGTTTTGGCTTCATTCATTCTTAAATCTAGTCAACTACATCAACACAGAAAATACCCTGGAGCAAGGAAACACTGTGATTCACACACTGTATGTTTGTGCAGGCACACGGGGCTTTTCTAAATAAGTAGTTCCATGCCCAGCTTGGAGGTGTGCATCTGAATTCCTGTTTCCATACATAATGGAAAACACAGGTGCACAATGTTTATGTCCAGCAGATTTATTACGATTCAGAATTTATAGGTGATATCGATGCAGTATTTCTGCTAACAGACAAAGTCCTTCCAAACATTCTTCCAACTTTATGGCTGCATGAAACAAGGACAAACTGAATAAGCAAAGTTAGAAAAAATATATACTAAGCTTTGAACAGCCATCAGTTATGTGGAAAATCTTAGCAGAGCTTTCCAGCCTACAGAGTATAACCTAATTTGGTAGGACGACTGTGATGCAAAACTTGAAGATACTTTAGGGAAAAATTAATGGCATTCTATCCACACACACCCAAACCTCCAAGGACGAAACCATTCCCAGTTCTTATGAAAATGTATTCTCGGCCATCTCTGCTTTTCCTGCTAATAACAAGCGGAACAGCAGCCAGATGGAAAGAAACTCAGCATCCTCAAAGACCCCCTCCAGAGATATCCATTTTTCTGCCTTGTTAACATGTCTATGTGGTGTTTTTTAAAACGCTTGGGGACACATCATGAGCAAAACAGGCAGCCAGTACTGTGACTGAGCATTTCCACCTTGAAGCTGCACTGTACCGATGAGAGTCTCAAAAACACAGATTTAGATAACAAACATGGAGCCAAGCTTGTCAGCTTGCAGGACGGAGGGTTTTTTTTTTTTTTTGGATTATTTTTCTTCAGAATCAGTTTCTGGTTTGAACACACATGACTAAATTACTCCAATACTGCAGCTTTCCATTGTGGCATCGAGTAGTTTTACAGTTTTTGAGCAGAGCTGTCGGTGAGCGGGGATCATTAAAAAGGGAACGGGGACCTTCATAGATCTTCACATTCTGGAGGAAACAGCAGTGCAGCTAAGCCATTTTAAGGCAGGAAGGGATTAATTTCATGGGAAAAAAAACTCTATATATGTAAGTCTGGTGCACAGAAATGAGTTTTTAGGGGTTTAATCAGTGATCTTTAAAGCTGCAAACACTGGATATCTCAATTTAATTTTGTCATCTACTAGAAGCCACTGCTTTTCATTAAATGTGTTACTTCACTACTTAATTGCTCAGTGCTGGCGAACACAACATTTGCTAGCTTGTGTTTTTTGATACTTAAACACAGAAGAATTTGGAAGCACAGACTTACATCAGGCCTCGCTTCAGCTTTCTTTAAACTTTTTTTTCCTTCCATAGGGCTGTGGGTTACGCTTAAAAGCTTTTGAGTAAAAACTAATAAATGAATCTTCAGCTTAAAGTGGTTTTATGGTGTTTTCTGTTAGAAAGTACACCAGTCAGTCACAATATAATAACACTGACATCTCATTACAATGCAATGTTCTGCTGGGAACATTTGGCTCCTGCAT